TATCAGTTTCAACAAAAAGTAAAATTTAATTTAAATTGGTTTGATAGTTATTCAATAATAACAAGGCAAGAGCATTATGATTTATAACCCAAATAAATTATAAATATTTATCACATGCATATTTCACAAAACTTTAAAAAAATTACAATAATTAAAAAATAACTTGAAAAAATTATAAAATATTTTATATAATATTTATATGGACGAAGGTTTCATATGGTGTGGGTTAAATCCACATCCATATAATTATTATGTAGAATATTTGTAGAAGAGAGACAGAGATAATGAGATAGTTAGGTCTAATTTATTTTAATTATTTATAATTGTTTTATTTTTTATTTTGGATGTTAGTCTTTAGTGTAATTTTTTTTCATAGTTTATTAGGTAGAAATAACTTATAATTGAAGAAAAAAATTGATATCCAAAATTTATTAGAAAAGAAGTACTTTTAACTTTTTCATTCAACAAAAAATAAATAAAAACCAATTTATAAAATTTTGTAAATATAAACTGAAAACGTAAACGTTACCAAACGCACCCTTAATAATTGAAGAAAAAAAATTGATATCCAAAATTTATTAGAAAAGAAGTACTTTTAACTTTTTCATTCTAATTATAAACTTTTTAATTTATAATAAACTGAATCAAACAGGCGCAATATCCATTTCTATTTTATTAGGTGTTCTAGATTTAAGAGTTTTCAATTGTTTTCAAGCTGTTTTCAAGTGATTTTTTTTTTGGCTCCTTTTTTGGTCGTTCTCTACAAAATTTCAGATAAAGGCTAAAATAATTGGAAAAAAAAAAACCCAAAAAAGTTGTTGCCAAGCAAAGGTACATGTGAAGCCCCATTGCACTTAGACCCAACCCCAAAAAATAAATAAATAAAAGAAAAGAAAAAGCAGAAGGTAGCAGTTGGGCCCCAAATCAACAAGAGAACAGAGTGGCATCAATCAAAGGTCCAGGCCCAGTTAACTGTGGATTTTGGAGAGTACAGATTTTTCTCAGATTCTTTCTTAAGAACCAAACAAAAAAGACAACTAGATATTTCCCATACAATAATATACCTATATGCCCTGATCATGACCTGTGTTTTACATTCCTTTTTGGCCCTGTTAATGTCATAGGAATATAAACCAGGAGTAGCTCATTCAAATATGTACTATTTTAAGGAAGAAAAAAAATTACATTTTAGTGAAAAGAAAGAAAAATTAATGGGTAAATTATACTTTACCCGTTTAATATTTGGTCATTTTTCACTTTGACACTTAAAATTTGCTTTTTTTCTTACTTTGGTCTTTTATGTTAGAAATTTTTTCTACTTTACTTCTATAGCTAATTTCTATTAAGAATTAGACAAAAAATGGAACAATATCTGTCGTATAATATAAAAATTATATTATTATATTAGAGTTTAAGTTTATATCAGAAGTGTGAGTTATGTATAATAAAATATTTTTATACTACGTGACTATCAATGTGTCATTTTCTATCTAATTTTAAACATAAGTTAATTTTAAGAGTAAAGTAAGAAAAACTTAAAACATGAATGGCTAAAATAAAAAAAAAAAAACAAATTTTAAGAACCATACTGAGAAAGTGACTAAATATAAAGAGCGCAAAATATAATTTATTCAAAATTAATTGTAAAAAAATGAAGGTACAAGTAATTATGAACTCGGGTGTAAGCGAAATGGTCCGATTAATAATCTAAACCATGGAAGGTTTGAATTATTTTGGACAAACTGGTGTCTTAATTAAGCACATTTAGAATTTGTCACTCTAATCGAACTTCGCAGGGGATATGAGAAAGAAAGCCATTTTTTTTTAAATGTCAAGTATTACAAAGTTAAATAAGAGTCTTCTAAAGTAACTGTCTTTTTTTTTTCTATGCTATAAAATCTACAATTATTGCATAATATTTACTAATAATAGGGGTCCACTTGAACCTCACAAAGAGATTACAAATTCGACTGACCCCTCATAAAGTTTTGAAATATGAATTAGGTATTCCAGTATAGTTATACCAAATTATTTTTTTAACTATCCCACAATAACGTTTGGTTGGCACCTTATTATTTTTATATTTATAAAAAATAAACTTATATGTGGCATATAATCATCAAATTATTGCATTGTTTACAGCACATTTCTAGCTCAGAGGACCCAATTTGAAATCATGCAACTTTTTGCTGATATTTTAAGCTTTTAAAAGGAATTTAAAAAAAGAAAAGTACGAAAAAAAAAGTCTAATGTTAGTTGTTGGATGGTGATCAATGAAAAGAATTCATCATTTGAGAATTTGGTATCAAAATCTTACTAGTAGAAACAAAAGACTATAGACACAATCAAACCATGGACCAACAAGGTTTAGAGAAAATATTTCGAAACTCACAAATTTAATATAATTATATTAGATTCTTTTAAGTTTTAATTCATATAATATTTCGTTTAATTTTTATTAATAATTTGTTAGTCATATGGATAAAAAATAGATATTATTTTATATTATTTTTCTTATTATTCACATGTCTACACTATTTGTAAAAGGTGTGTGGAACTAGGTGAAATGTAGGCATATTTTATTCACATTTCACCTAACTTTTTCATTTCCCTTTCCAAATCCCTCCTCAAATCCCCCAACCAAACACAGCGTTAGTGTCACTAAAATGAAAGTTGGTATAATTATATAAGACTTGAGGGGCATATTATATTTTTTAAACCTATAGGGTGGTCAGTGTCATTTGTCCTATTTTGTTTTAGAGCAGATTGGCCCCGTTTGGTAGAGCTGTGGAAAAGTGATTATAACTTATAGTTTAACAACTTATAACTTATAACTGTGAACATAAACTGATTTTTGACTTATAAATTAAGCTTCTCCTCCTCCACTCAAAGAATAAGTTGATTTTTGACTTACAAAAAGCTATAAGCTATATTGTTAAACTGAACCAAACATATCAAAAGAGCTTAAATTAAGTTAAAAGCTAAAATAAGCTAGAAATAAGCCATACGAAACAGAGTCATTATACCATTGGTTCTTAAAGTTTGTTTTTTGTGTCAATTTAATCTATGCATTTTCAATTTTGACATATTTGATTTTTAATTTTATATTTTATATTAAATTAGTTCAATCAATAATGGTGGTTAATTTTTTTTTTTATGTTTTTTTAATTTTGTTTTTAAAAATAATCACATGTAGCTCATGTGAAGAACTTTTAAGGACAAAATTAAAAACGTTCACAGATTTCTATCTTTCAAGAGCTCTCAAACAGTTAAACAAAAATATTACATATAATTTAATTTCTTATCGTATTTTCTCACCCCCTAGATACAAGAGAATAAGTCTCATATATATTTATTAATGTGAATTCTTTTACTTACTTCAAAAAAAAAAAAAAAAACTATTACTTTATATTTAGATGTGAGAAAATAGGTGAAAAATAAAATTATGTATATAATTACTCATTAAAAAAGAAGTGTTCCTAATATGAATCCAGGGAGTCACACACAAATAAAACCAAAAACCATAAATACCCAATACAAAAAAACAAAAAAGCAATTATAAGAAATCTAAAAGATACAAAACCAAAATATGTACGTATGTACATGTATATGCTCTCACAAAGTGGAGAGTCGGACCCTTTGGATGGATGCTTTTGTGGTAACTAAGTTGCCAACTTGTCATCCTCTCAGGTCCTACCATTTTCTCTCTCTCTCTCTCACTTCATGTCTAGAGAAAAGTTAAAAATCATGAAAAAATTTTCATGAAAATGATCATGAAAGATTTATAATCATTCGATTACCTTGATTAGTGTGTGGTGCTTTATTTTAAGTATAATCCAAGGGTCACAAAACTTTCATGATTATTTTCATAAAAGGTTTTTCATGATGCCTAGCATTGTTGTTATGTCTAAATTATATTCTAACAGTGACTCTACAAATTCAAAAAAAATAATAATAATAATAATAATAAAATCACGCAGAATTTTCGATTAAAGGCCAAGATTTATCACACAACATTAAATATAGATCATTAATCTATTATTCTGGTTAGTTTTTCTGGAACAATAGAGTTTCTCTTATTTTTAAAGGGAACAAAATAAAAAATGTGTGTACAAAACTTGTACACAGAAAAAAATATCTACAAAATTATTTGAAACTTATATGTAAATGAATTTTATGTACATAATGGTGAGGGAAAGTGGAAGACGTGGTGAAAGAGATAAGCATGAAAATGATGGGAGAGAACAGTACCAATTATCAATGGCATGGACCCTCTTTTTTGTCGGCCATCCCGTTACTATCTCTAATGGGTATATACTATTCTCTCACTTTTTCTTTAAAGTTTTCAAAAATTCTTTTATAAATTTTAATCACCCATTTATAAAGATGAGATTTTTTTTGTTATAAAAAATTTTCTTGCATGATCTTTAGACATTATTATAATTGTTGTTTAGATTCAATCATTCTTTTGATGGAACTTGTGTGTGTACTATTAGTTGTTTAGACATTATTGTAATAGTTGCTTGGGTTCAATAATTTGTTTTTTGATAGTAGTGTTTGGATTCAATCATTTTTTTGCATAGGTTAAAAAAAAAAATTTGAACTCAAAATAATAGAATTTTGCTTGGATTCCATCTTTTTATTTTATGAAACCTTTTGTTAGAATAACTATCTTTTGGCAGGTTGAAATAAGTACTGTTAATTTCTTGAAAAGTTTAATTTGTTAAAGACATAAATAATTTATGTGTGGGTAAAAAACTATCGGTATCTAAGATGAATTCACTGAAATCTTCATTTGCAAAATTAAGATTAATATTTGCCCCGGTTTTATTACATCGACATATAGAGTATTTTGATACTAAAAAATGTCAACACATTTACTAATAATCTTACTAACATACTTACAAGTTGATATATGTCTTGTACCATGTAATGATTAATTTTATCAAAACTTGTGAGCACGTCAATAAAGTTGTTAATAAATTAGAATCCCTAGCATTGTTGTTCAATACTAGAGTTAGCCACTTTCTCTCCCTAAAATGTTAGAATATTCTGATAATAATGTCCGGAACTTTATATTTTCAACATGAGGAGATATGTGACCAAATTATCGTTTATAAGTAATTCAAACCGATCAAATAGACAGTGAGATTGAAAACATAATTTATTATCAGCTCTAAGAACATATTAAAAAAAAAGATGTATTACACAAAAGACCTATGCGTAACTACACATATATAGCTTTCATCTTTGTGTTTTGTGTTGTCATCAATGGCTGGAACTCTCCCCGGTGTTGAATATGCTCGGAGACGACGGTTCCACCAGACTAGCAGGTGGTTGGAATCCCCAACCACGGCGGCTTTTGGCTCGACAAGGCAGTCATCTTTTTGTTTACATTCAAGCCACCATGAATCCCATCTGAGCTCAATCTCAAATTCCCTGGTGGGTTTTTTTTACTAATTATACATGAAAAAAAAAAAAAAAAAAGCGCTAATTTTCTCTTAGAATTGAAGCTTTAAGGGTAGTTGTTTGTATTGTATTATTATGTGATACTAAGATTTGAATGAATGTTAAAACAGCAAAAAAGCACACAGAGGAAGGCATATGAGGATGAGAAGCTAGGAGGTGTGGCTAGAGCAGCCAAGGTGAGGCTTGATGAGAGGCTAAGAGCTCAATGGAATTCAGAAACCAAAAGGTAAATGAGAATTATTGTTGGGATTTTCACACACCCCTATGCGAAGAGAAGCACACCTACACTCACATAGTCGAGGATTCTCTATCCTCAAATTTTTCTATCTTTCTATTTCAAAATATTTGCAATTGATTATTACAAAAAAATTCAAGATGCAAAAAATTCGAGACATGGTTAAATGAAAATTGTCAATCCTGCAGAACGGAAATCGAAGAGAAAGCACATCTACACATACTACATCAAAGAGAAAAACACAGAATTTATGTAGTTGAGCACAAAACTTGCCAATTCCAACAATAATTTGGAGGTCTTTCATTATGATTTTTGCTTACATTGGCCTTGATGTTCCATGACATGTGAGAAGTGCTCATTTTGAAGCATAAAGTTTTTTTTTTTTTTTTTTAATTGCTCTCTTCATCAAAACTAAGGATGAAAATCATATTTTTACTCAAATTTGATGAATTTTTTAAAAAAGTAAAAGTCAGAAATGGTATATTATCATAAAAAATTTAAACAGATTTTTAGGATAAGTTTGAAATTTTTCATTAACATGTAAAAGAAGAATAAGATTAGAGTGTTTCATATCATTATCAAGTAAGGTTGTTCAACGAACCTAGCTACTTGAGATCAACTCGTGTTCAATTCGTTAAAAGTTCATTTGAGATTGACTTGTTATGTAAATAAGTCAAATTTAAACACAATTTTAAATTCGTTAAGTTGTCAAGTTAAACTTGAATAACCTACTACTCGGCTTGATAAACTTATATATACTAAAAAAAAGTCAATTACTTGTGCTTGATTTGTGTTCGGCATGTTAAAAGCTCTTTCGAGATCGGTTCATTACGTAAACAAGTCAAATTTAAACATATTTTAAAATCCTTCCAAGTTTTCAAGCCAAGTTTTAAGCCCTGTTATCAAGTTTTTTATCAATTTTTTACTTAAATTTAATGAAAAAAAGAGATTAAAGATCGGAGTTGTTATACAAGAAGTACTTATTTTGAATCATTTAATTTCTCTTTAATATTTATTTTAAATTTAGGAATAATAGCCAGGAGAAATTGAGGTGTATGGAGGGAAGAAGAACAATGATGGCAACAAGCGATTTGCAAAAAGAGGTGTTTGGATTGAAGAAAACACTAGTGGGTTCAATGAGGTTCATGAGCTGGGCAAAGTTGGGGTGGAAGGGCTCAGAAGAACAAGAAGAGTGTGCCATTTGTTTGGAAAATTTCAAGAATGGTCAGACCCTGGTTCACCTTCCATGCACCCACCGGTTCCATTCTAGGTGCTTGGTCCCATGGCTCCACACCAACGCTCACTGCCCTTGCTGCAGAAAGGAAATCTTGAACTGAGAAAATAAATAAATAAATAAATAAGAGAAAAAATTAGAGCATTAATCCCTCTAGTTTGAGTGAGATTTCCCTTTAATTCTTATAGTTTCAATTTCATTAATTTAAACTCTACGCTTTTGATTTTGTTTTAAATGTAGTCTCTCTGACAATTGGCCCTAGCATTTTGAACAACAAAAGCCACGTGTAAGTCTGGTGAGACATTTAACAATTCTCGCATAAGTAAGAAAAATGAATAAATTACGCTTTTGGTTCTTACAATTTCTTACAAATTCTATTATTGTTGGGATTGAAAGCACATCAACAAATACTACATCAAAGAGAAAAACACAGAATTTATGTAGTTGAGCACAAAACTTGCCAATCCCAACAATAATTTGGAGGTCTTTCATTATGATTTTTGCTTGCATTGACCTTAATGTTCCATGAAATGTGAGAAGTGCTCATTTTGAAGCATAAAGTGTTTTTTTTTTAATTGCTCTCTTCATCAAAACTAAGGATGAAATTAATAATCATATTTTTACTCAAATTTGATGAATTTTTAAAAAGAGTAAAAGTCGGAAATGGTATATCATCATAAAAAATTTAAAATAGATTTTTAGGATAAGTTTGAAATTTTTCAAAAACATTTCATATAAAAGAAGAGTAAGATTAGAGTGTTTCGTATCATTATCAAGTAAGGTTGTTAAACAAACCTAGTTACTTGAGATTAACCGAAAACAGAAAGGAATTCTGTTTTGGGATAATCGGATTCCTTGGATTTCTGCATTCATTGGATCTTCCTGTGGATCACTAGGTGGTCTACTAGGAGGTCTAGAAGGAATCTGCTGTAGAAGAGAGTCAACGGACTGTCTACTAGATTCGGGAAGATCTACTCTATAAGGTGGCATAGATCTGAAACTATTATGGGAAAAACTTCTGGGTGCTGTCTGAAAACTAGCATTAAAAGAACTACTGCGGGTAAGCAAAGGTTTCTGGAATTGAAGGTAAACATTACCTCCTTGTGTTTGGATAGCATCATCGATGTTATGTTGAATAATCGGTTTTGGCGGAACAGCATTTGGAATATGCCATCTTTTGGGAAATGTTATATCCTTCCAGGGGATTAACTTTGGTACGGCTACCTGGCTACTGTAAAGATTGGTTTCAATTAATACTGTTTGTCCTGTTTCAGTTTTCTTTTTAACATAAGTATTTAACGTTGTTAAAGCCTTAATATAAATTCTGGAATGTACTGAAAAAGGAGGGGTTCCGGGTTTATACTCATATCCATGAGTAAGAACTCTTAGTTCTAAGACATCAGAAAACTATTTTACACAGAGAGGTTGGAAGAGATAGTACAAGAGAAATTAAAAATAAAAACTAACTCCGAATGACTCTGTCTCAACAAGGGTGAGGGCTGCCCTTTTATAAACCAAAAGAAGATAAGGAAATTATTATAGGGGGACAAGAGTGCATCTTCGATTGGACCGACAGATTCCACCTTATCAGCTTATCTTCAACTTTTGACGGAGTGGGGAGCAGCATCTCCTTTTGACTGTTGGGCGAGCATCTGCTTTTGCAAAAGTCCTTTGTCTGGTTCTGCCGACGTCTAGTGCTTGGGTCCTTTTCCTCTACTGTTTTTGTCTTTGGCTACTTTTTCTGCGATGACAGCTGTAAGGGAGTCCCAAAAATCTCCAAGATTGGGCTCAGCATCTTCGGGTAACTGTGATTCTCCTGCCAATACGTGTTCGGCTGGATCACTATCTTGTTTGGATGGAGTCTGACTTGTTCCTGATCTCATGGATGCGTCATCATCCTGGCTGACTGATTGGAGGAACTGGTCTTTCAAATAATCCATACTTTTAACAATTAATTCATTATCGGAAAGATGGGGATATTTTTGTTTTAATTCCTTCTGAATTTGTACAAACGGGTTAATGGCTGCTGCCGGAGTGGGTGCTGGTAAGGCTGGCTGTTTAAAGGATTCCCAACAAGCTTGGGTATGTTGTTGAATTTTCGGAAGGAGTTCTTTTATATCCATTTTATCCCACCATTTAACAAAAAAGATTCTTTTAAGTCGGGGGACTTTGTTCTGGTAGTCACAGGCAAAATCACATTTCCATATCTAGGGTATTCCAAAACGGATAGAGAAATGGACAACAGATTTACTGATAGAGAGTTCTCTATTTTTATTTAAAAATGAATAAGCACGGGAATAAGCCACATGCCATTCATTAAATGCGGTTCGAACTGAGTCTGGTAAAATTTCAAGGGAAAGTCCAAATTTATCCCACCAAACGAGGAACCAATTAGGGACATCGTTTTTAAGGATGTCGGAAGCAATACGGATAAACCAAAAATGATTCTTGATAGGATTCTGGTAATAAAAAAACCTGGGTAAAAGCATCAATATAGTCCCAGTAAGTATATTTTGTCTGTTTATTCCGTAGATCAAGATCACGGGTTATATGCGGATGAATGTCCCAAGTGGAAATGGGCATAATATTACGGATAACAATCTTACTGTACTGGATGGGGCTAGCAGCTTTGTTGACATCATGCAAAGTATGCTTAATCTCAGCGGCCCCGGTTTCGGTTAACATCTATTCATAGATGTAGCGATACTGATCAAAATGCGGAGGAGATTGCTGAGTGGTAAGATACCGTCGTTTAATTTCCCATGGATCAGTCATCCATTGTTCATCTGCTGGTTCAATCCAGAGGACAGTTTCCTCGGTAATACTGTTAGGTGTGTACGGGTCTTCGGTCTTAAGGAGAATATCCTTAGAAGGATGATTTATTAAACCAGCATTTTCTTATTAGAGTTGACTGCTCTGCTGCTAAACAGATTTTTAAACAGGATGTAAAAAATCTTGCCTCCAAGCAGATATTCTTGACTTGGCAGAGTTATTTATCCAATTTTGATTTTGATATTGAATATATCAAAGGTGACACTAACTCTTTGCCTGATTTCTTAACCCGTGAATATTTGCAGAAATCTGTCAATGGCCAGTAGAGGCCATCGTGGGCGTGGTCGTGGCCGGGGTCATACCCCTCGCTATGATCAAGCAGAATATCCAGCCCTCTCTCGAGGAGGTCAAACCAGTAATCCCTCGTCTAAGGATATTCTCCTTAAGACCGAAGACCCGTACACACCTAACAGTATTACCGAGGAAACTGTCCTCTGGATTGAACCCACAGATGAACAATGGATGACTGATCCCTGGAAGATTAAACGACGTTATCTTACCACTCAGCAATCTCCTCCGCATTTTGATCAGTATCGCTACATCTATGAATAGATGTTAACCGAAACCGGGGCCGCTGAGATTAAGCATACTTTGCATGATGTCAACAAAGCTGCTAGCCCCATCCAGTACAGTAAGATTGTTATCCGTAATATTATGCCCATTTCCACTTGGGGCATTCATCCGCATACAACCCGTGATCTTGATCTACGGAATAAACAGACAAAATATACTTACTGGGACTATATTGATGCTTTTACCCAGGTTTTTTTATTACCAGAATCCTATCAAGAATCATTTTTGGTTTATCCGTATTGCTTCCGACATCCTTAAAAACGATGTCCCTAATTGGTTCCTCGTTTGGTGGGATAAATTTGGCCTTTCCCTTGAAATTTTACCCGAATCAGTTCGAACAGCATTTAATGAATGGCATGTGGCTTATTCCCGTGCTTATTCATTTTTAAATAAAAACAGAGAACTCTCCATCAGTAAGTCAGTTGTCCATTTCACTATCCGGTTTGGCATACCTTGGATATGGAAATGGGATTTCGCCTGTGACTACCAGAACAAAGTCCCCCGACTTAAAAGAATCTTTTTTGTTAAATGGTGGGATAAAATGGATATAGAAGAACTCTTTCCGAAAATTCAACAACATACCCAAGCTTGTTGGGAATCCGTTAAACAGCCAGCCTTACCAGCACCCACTCCAGCAGCAGCCATTAACCCGTTTGTACAAATTCAGAAGGAATTAAAACAAAAATATCCCCATCTTTCCGATAATGAATTAATTGTTAAAAGTATGGATTATTTGAAAGACCAGTTCCTCCAATCAGTCAGCCAGGATGATGACGCATCCATGAGATCAGGAACAAGTCAGACTCCATCCGAACAAGATAGTGATCCAGCCGAACACGTGTTGGCAGGAGAATCACAGTTACCCAAAGATGTTGAGCCCAATCTTGGAGATTTTTGGGACTCCCTTACAGCTGTCATCGCAGAAAAAGTAGCCAAAGACAAAAACAGTAGAGGAAAAGGACCCGAGCACTAGACGTCGGCAGAACCAGACAAAGGACTTTTGCAAAAGCAGATGCTCGCCCAACAGTCAAAAGGAGATCCTGCTCCCCACTTCGTCAAAAGTTGAAGATAAGCTGATAAGGTGGAATCTGTCGGTCCAATCGAAGATGCACTCTTGTCCCCCCTGTAATAATTTCCTTATCTTCTTTTGGTTTATAAAAGGGCAGTCCTCACCCTTGTTGAGGCAGAGTCATTCGGAGTCAGTTTTTATTTTTAATTTCTCTTGTACTATCTCTTCCAACCTCTCTGTGTAAAATAGTTTTACTTCCTCAATAAAATTCTCTTTTGTATTGATCGTGTATGCCCTCAGTTAATGCCTTAGAACAGTATTTGTGGTTATTACAATTTTGAAAAAATCAGAAAGAGCATTATCTTAATACTCCTGTAGACCAGTATACACGCCAATACATTGCAGAGTGCTTAGCCGAGTGTGACCAGCGGATAGCAGACTTGCAGACGTTGATTCACGAACAGATCATTGTGTGGGCGGCCAGTAGGCCTCCACCACCTCAATAGTAAGGTAATGAGATCATATATGTTGTAATTTGTTTTCTTTATAATCATATTATGTGTATATTAATTCTTGGGTTTGTGCTATTGTAAGGTTAATTAATTGTTAGGGTTAGTGGGACGTCACCCAAGTCGCGTAGGGATTAGGTCGTTTAACAGAGAGTGCGTTTGACCGTCTGATGCCCGTAAGTCGTTGACAGACGTGCTAGCCTTAACCTTTAGTGAGCACCTTTAATGGTATCAGAGCCAAGTTTTAATTATCACATAAAATGAATATAAATTAAACAAATTAAACATATATGATCATTATACAACCATGACTGAACAACAAGATAATACTGTAGAACTACTAGGATCCGAATCAGTAACAACAGTAGGAAATACAATTTCCTCCTTAGCCGAAGCAGCTGAACTAGTAGCTTACCAGGATGTGAAGGAAGCCCTAGATAAATGGACTATCCCATCTATAGATCCACAAACCATTTATAAGAAAGGACGCTTTCAATTTTTCAGTAAAACTATAATCAAGACATTTGAACATGCATCTTGCATCCAAAATAATGATGAAATAATCCGTTTAATTCACATAAATGATTTTATTCCGTTTTTAAAAACATATAAGTACATCCATATAGGATTAGTACAAATTGCATTTAAACCGTTGACCCTTCTTGGTCAAAATACCAGTATCCAGTGCACCCTTAGAGATGGTAGATGTCTGAATTGGAAAGCTTCGCTTATGGGAGCTATTGAGACAAGTTTGTCTCATGGACCAGTATATTTTGATATTTATCCGAACCTTAGCATAGCCCTGTGTGATGCTAATCTTTCTGATGTCTTAGAACTAAGAGTTCTTACTCATGGATATGAGTATAAACCCG